GTGGCAGGGCTGGGCTCCTGCCCAAGCCCTCTGCAAGGCAGGGTGCTGAGTGCACCCACAGGGAGGCAGCCCCAGGGAGGCGGCAGCCTGGGATAAGTTTCACGGCACCACTCGAAATGGCCAGTGGTCCCTGGCAAAAGAAACCGGGTAAAGAAAATGTATGTGCCTTGCATCCTGAGGTGAGGTGGTGTGTCCCGCATGGTTTGGCCTTGGCACTGTGTGGCTAGGAGAAATACCCTGGAGATCAGCATGGCATGGGAGGGAAAGGGAGTTCTCTGATGGCCAAGCACCTAATTAGGTGCCTCCGTGAGTGCAGAGCCGGGACCGGGCATCACTGCCCACAAGCCCTGAGAGAGCCGCGCCACAGCTGCAGCTGCTTGCTCCCTCGGAGCCGGTGCAGCCCGTGCAGGGCCCGCGCCTCTGCTGTGCTCACACTCCAGAGCCTTCCCGCCTGTGCCTGGGGCACCAGCAGGGAGTGGGAACGCGAGCCCCAGGCCACGCAGGTGAAGGGGCTGGAGCGAGATGTGCGTCTGGATCACTGCCGCCAGCGGGAGCAGGATGTCTTTTGCCGAAGGAACGGGAGGAGACCGACGGGGAGTGTGTGGCTGCATTATGAGCGTTATAAGTGCGTGGCCTTTCCTTGCTGGAAGCTGGGTTTCCTTGTGAAGGGATGGTTTCTACCCCTCCCTCCGCGTTGCCACTCAGACAAAGAAAGGGAAGGCAGGGGGAGGGGACAAGGCTGTATCTAGGTTATCGGGTCTGGTCTTCCCCCCGGATAGGAGTAAACCTTCCCCCCAGATAGGAGTAAACCAAGTCCTGGCCACCCGAGCCCTGTAACACATCTCATGAGGCCACTGCCATCCCAGCCAACTGCTGGGAACATCAGGGTGCTAGTGGTGCCCTGCAGCAGCGGCGTTCGTTCACTGCCGGCTGCGTTCGCTGGCCTCCCAGCGAGAGGCTTGCAGGGGCCTGGTGAGAGCTGGGCCAGCAGGTCCTGCTGGAGCCTCTGGGGCAGTCACGGCCTCCTCCGGCCCTGCCTGCCCTGGGCCGGGCGCTGCAGCCCTCCCCGCTGCAGGCTGCGATGGGAGCACTATGCTGCGAGCGCAGCCTCCTCCCAGAGACTCCGGTTATCACTGGCAGCCCAGCCATCTCCTGCCACCTTCTGCCACCTCCTGCCACTTCCCACCACCTCCTGCCAGGAGGGAGCTGGGGAGCAGAGGTATCACCAACCACCACCCTCTCAGATCAGCCTGTGCTTAGCAGGCAGAACAAAGCAGCAGTGAAAAGGCTGGTAATGCAAGCAGCGGATGCACGTCGTTAACCTCGCCTAATCCTCTATTCATTATCAGCTACATTGACCATCGTCCCTATCATGAATTTATTACAGGGACAGGGAGCAGTTGAAGGGTCTACAGGATGTGCCTAGGATGCATAATGCTGCTCCTCGAGCACTCGCCAAGGGCTCAGTGAGGTTTCATAGCAGTGCCAGCATTACTTCATACGTGACAGAGATATTCCCAGCAGAGCGGGTAGATATGTTTCCTGCCTCAAGGTGTTTCTCATGCCTCTGTCTGCACACCCTGACCTTGCTGCTTCCTGAGTTGTCGCGTTGGACTCATCCGTGGAAGTCAGGAGGTGGAAAATTGCAGGCGCAAAGCTGAGTGCTTAGATACCTCTTTGTAAAATGGGGGCTTGTCTTTCAGATGTGGCATGGGGAGAGAAGAAGGTAAGAGAAAGAGAATACTGTCTACTCTGAGACTTTGAATATCCTAAATCAAAACTTTTGGCATGGGGAGAGAAGAAGGTAAGAGACTGTCTACTCTGAGACTTTGAATACCCTAAATCAAAACTTCCCCTCTCCCTCTTTTCCCCAAATCACTGACAAAAAATCCGGGAAATATTTAAGGGGACTTTAGGAGTTCTTTTCACCTGATTTGAGAGCTTTTTGTAGTACTTTCTTCAGGTGTTTAAGACCTGACACCGAAAAGCCTGCTCTAGACTTTGCAAGTTCCCAGCTCCAGCAGCAAAACCTGCAATGTGCACAGCACAGCTGGCAACATCTGGCAACTCTGGGCAAAGTGTCCTTCAGTGCCATGGGAGGGACAAGCCAGGAACATTCCTGTGAACCTTGGAGTTGTCTGGTAGCTTCTTCCCTCCTTATTTCTCCCCATGTAAGAAAAAGGAGTCAAAGGAATAAAAGAGAGGGCAACAGACTCCTCAAAGAGAAGCTCCTGCCCAGGCAGCAAAGGCTCCTTGGCTTGTCCTGCTCAGCCCACACCACCAGCCCCGCAGGGAGGCTGCTTAGGGAACCACAGGATCATTATGGTTGGAAAAGACCTTCACCTGTGCTCTCTTCTCTGGAGATGTGTTTGTTGCCCAGGCTTCCTTCCCACATTCTTGACCTGCTCCTCGTTTACCTCCAGGGCTTTATTCGCTCTCTGTTATCGTAATAGCCAGACACTTCACTTCCTTTAATGCACTGATCCTTGCGACTGTCAGAAGAGCTCTTAGGCCGGAGGGAGACAGGAGGCAGATGCAGTTCCTGCAGTCTGGAGTGCAGGAGCCTCATGCTCTGGGAAACTCTCCCCCCTCTTACCCTGCATTAGAGAGTTGGCACCTTGTGGCCAGGAACAGCAAGCAATAGCTGTGCTTGCTCTCACCTTTGATCTCCTCCATAGTCATCCTCACCAGGGCTTGGGCCCAGGCACCTCTGAGACGCCCTCGCGAGCAGGGCCCTGTGGGCTCGGAGCTGGCGAGTGCTGTGTGGCAACCGGGGCTGCGGCACAGCGGGCCCCACAGCACACGCGCCACAGGGCAGAGCATGAGCAAAGGGAAGGAGAGAGCAGAGCTGGCGGGGGCCGGCCTGCCCGTG